ACACCAAGTGATCCAGATCTAGCTAAGATAATTGATGAAAGTAGCTACACTAAACAACAGATTTTCAATGTAGACAAAACAGTCTCAGGCCGGAAGCAGATGCCATTTAGGACTTTCATTGCTAGAGAGAAGTCAGTGCCTGGCTTCAAAGTTTCAAAGGAGAGGCTGACTCTTGTCAGGGCCTAACACAGCTGGTGACTTTACATTGAAGTCAATGTTTATTTGCCATTCCAAAAATCCTGGGAACCTTAAGAATTGTGCTATTATCTACTCTGTCTGTGCTCTATAAATAAAATCGCAAAGCCTGGATGGCAGCAATCTGTTTCCAGCATGGTTTACTGATCACTTAAAGCCCAATGTTGAGATTTACTGCTAAGAAGAAAAGGTTCCTTTCAAAATGTTACTGTTTATTGACAACACACCAAGAGTGCTGAGGGCAATGTACAAGGAGATTAATATTTTCATGTCTGTTAACAAAAATATATATTTCGCAGTCCATGAATCAAGAAGTAATCTGGACTTTCAAGTCTTACTACTTAAGAAATACATATCATAAGGGTATAGCTGCCATAGATAGTGATTCCTCTGATGGATCTGGGAGCAAAGTAACTTGAAAATTTTCATTAAAAAGATTTACCATTCTAGATGCCATTAAGAACATTAATGATTCATGGGGGAGATCAAAATATCTATATTAATAGGAGTTTGTGGCTGGGAGCAGTGGCTCACACCTGCCATCACAGCACTTTGGGAGGCTGAGGTGGGTGGATCACAAGGACAGGAGATTGAGACCATCCTGGCTAACATGGTGAAAACCCATCTCTACTAAAAATACAAAAAATTAGCCAGGCTTGGTGGCACATGCCTGTAGTCCCAGATACTCAGGAGGCGGAGGCAGGAGAATCACCTGAACCCAGAAGGCAGAGGTTGCAATGAGCCTAGATCACGCCACTGCACTCCAGCCTGGGCAACGGAGCTAGACTCTGTTTCAACAACAACAACAACAAAAAATAGGAGTTTGGAAGAAGTTAATTCCAACTTTCATGGATGACTCTGAAAGGTCCAAGACTTCAGTGAAGGAACTAACTGAATATATGGTAGAAACAGCAAGAGAACTAGAAATAGAAGTGGCACCTGAGGATGTGACTGAATTGCTGTAATCTCATGATAAAACTTGAATGGTTGAGGAGTTCTTATGGATGAGTAGAAAAAAGTGGTTTCATAAAATAGAATCTACTCAAGGTGAAGATGTTGTGGACATTGTTAAAATGTTATATAAACTTAGTTGATAAAGCAGAGACAGGGCTTAAGAGGATTGACACCAATTTTGAAAGAAGTCTACTTTGTGTACAATACTACCTGATAGCATCACATACTATGAATAACTTTTTCATGAAAAGAAGAGTCCATTGACTCCATTAGTCCATTGGCAGACTTCATTGTTGCCTCATTTTAGGAAGTCGTCACAGACACCTCAACCTTCAGTAGCTACCACCCTGATCAGTCCGCAGCCTACGACATCAAGGCAAGACTCTTCACCAGCAAAATGGTTATGACTCATAAAAAGCTCAGATGATTGTTAGAATTTTTTGCCAATAAAATGTCTTTATTTAAAATGTGTACATTGTTTTCTTATACATAATGCTATTGCACACTAAATAGACTACAGTAGACTGTAAATATAACTTTTTTATGTGCCGGCAAACAAACAAAGTTGTGTGACTGACATTGTGATATTCACTTTATTGCAGTGGCCTGGAACTGAACCCACAGTGTCTCTAAGTTATGCCAGTACCCAGAATAGATACATTCATAGAGACAAAAAGCAGGTTGCCAGGGGCTGGTGGGAGGTGGGAATATTGAGTCACTACTGAATGGGTATATGATTTCCTTTTGGGATGATGAAAATATTTTCTAACTAGATAGGGACTAGGTACCATAATATTGTGAATGTACTGAATGCCATTGAATTGTTCATTTTAGGATAATCTTATGCTAATTTTATGTAAAAGAAAAAGTCTTGGTGTGATTTGTTATAAGCCATAATAACCGGAACATCTCTAAAAATTCTTTGCCTTTCTTCAGGTATGATTTAAGGTAGGGATCAAAGTTATGTTTGTTTGTTTTTCCATGTGACTAACTTTGTTGAGCATAGTGTTTATCAATGTCAATTAGGTCAATTAGTTGAAAGTCCTGTTCAAATCTTCCATATCTTATTAATTTTTCAGTCTATTTATTCTGTTTATGTCTTCCTTTAGTTCTATAAATTTTTATATCATGTATTGAGAACTTTTGTTATTGGGTACATAACCCTTTAGTATTATTATGTCTTCTTGATTAAAAAACATTTTATAATTGTGATCCAGTCTCTTTATCTCTGGTAATATCCTTTACCTTGGATTTTTATTTGGTTTGATACTACTTTAGCCATATAGACTTCTTTTTGTTAGAGTTTCAAACTGTTTGTATCTGCATATTTAAAGTATGTTTCTTACATTTTAACAAATCTATACTCTTTATTCAGTCTGACAATATTTGCTTTAATTGGAATGTTTAATACATTTACATTTATTATAATTGTGGGCACATCAGTATTTCAACTTGCAATATTGGTGTCCAATTTCTACTTTTCCAGTCCTTTCTTTGTTTCTCTGTCACTTTTCTCCTGCTTTTGTTTTGGGAAGATGAACAATTTTTTTCACATCCCATTCTACTGTATCTACTAATTTTTAATTTAAGAATTTTGTGCTAGTTTTTAGTGATGCTTTAGAGATGAAAAATACATCTTTAACTCATCATGATTTATGTACAAAGGTATTTTATTACCTCAAAAATAATTTGTTTGAACAATATATTTCCAATGAATAACCCTAAATCTATTGTATTCTTATTGTCATATATATTAATTCTACATATGCTATTTAAAAAAAAACCCTGCTATTTCATTATTATTTTAGCTTTAAAAAGCTTGGTAACAGTCTAGTGAAACTAGAGGTTGGGAGTAGATTACCTGAGTAGAAAGGAATATAATCAGACATTAGACTACCAGTAACACCCTGTGGCAAGATAGCATCCTATAAAGAGCACAGGACTTCTACAACGAGCAGGCCTTTTGGCATCCAGAACTGATTCTGGATTTTAATTACTATGAATTTAGTAATCTCATAAGGTTTTGAATTTATCGTTGGAAGAGAGTGAGAGCAAAATGAGAGGTAGGATCCATGATGAAAAGGAAGGCTGAGACTTTATTCATTTCATTTTGTATATCTTCATTGATTCATTTTTATCATTTAGCATTTATTAATTGAAACAGACACTGTGTTGGATATTACTGGATATACTGTTGTAAAAAAATACATGCAAATTTTAAACCTGTATATTTTTTTAAATGTTGGGACTTAATTTCATATACCAAACTGGTGAAGCAGGACAATTTGGTTAGGATCAAAATTTCTTTTTTTTTTTTTTTTTTGAGACGGAGTTTCGCTCTTGTTACCCAGCATTTGAAGTTGTTAACACTTCATATAATTTTCACATGAACTTGGTGTTGTTAATGCAATACTTTTGAGTACCACTATTTAAATGAAGCTACTCACAAAGTTAAATTTAGTTGCTTTCACAAATGACCCAGATGCAGATTCCAGTTAGCACATAGTGGTTTTTCAAACATTTTCAAACAAAGATAAATATTTTCTGCCTACTCCTTTCTCTGTTGAAACTAAAATCAAATATCTCACCCTGTAACAAACACAAGGATTGACGTATAAGAAGAACAGCTTGCAAGCTCTCTTTTCTTCCAAGAATAGCTGTGATTTGCTAGAGGCTCCAGAGATTTCTGACATGTTTATATATACGTGGGGGTAGCAGAGCACTGGAGAATCCCAGTAGCTGCCAAAGCAGTGGGACATTGAGAAAAAAGCGATATTTAAGTGGTATAGCTTGGATATTTGTCCTCTCCAAATCACATGGTAAATTTGAGCACCAATATTGGAGGTGGGACCTTGTGGAAGGTGTTTGGCTCATGGGGGGCCAATCTCTCATGAATGGCTTGGTGTTGTCCTTGTGGTAAGGAGTAATTTTCCACTCTATTAGTTCTTACAAAATCTGATTGTTAAAAAGAGGCTGGCACCTCCCTCCCATCTCTCTTGCTCCTTCCTCTCAGTATATGATGCCTGCTCCCCTTCACATTCTGCCATGAGTGGAAGCTTCCTGCAATTTTCACAAGAATCAGATGCTAGTGCTGTACTTCTTGTACAGCCTGCAGAACCGTAAGCCAAATAAATCTCTTTTCCTTATAAAATTCCTAGCCTAAGTCATTCCTTTATAGTAACATAAAAACAAAGACATTAAAACAGTAGGGAAGAGAATAAATATATATTGATTCTCAATTGAATTGAATTATCAATTCAATTCAACCAACATGTTTACTTTGAAATTCTCCTTAGAAGGTAGTCAATGTCCTGCCCATTCCACAATTAAAGGGTCTTTCCAAGAGTTCATCCCTCTTGACTTTTTTTTTTTTTTTACAAGAATTTCAAGTTTTTACACAGAAATTAATGAGTAGGACTTCAGGAAAATCCCAGATTAAATATTTTTAAAAAATTACTAAATGTTTTGAATAGAAATCTTATTTGCTTCTACTCTAAGAAATTTAATTTGCTTTTATGTACTTCATCATATATAGGTAGGTACTGCTTTCAATACGATGTAATGCTACAATCAACTGTAAGAGGCAAGAGACCGACTCCATGCAGTTTATATTCTTCATGTAACATTACACTCAAAAAGGACTAGGTGAATTACACGTGTTTGAGAATATTAGTGAGCGAGTAGATACACGTAAAGATCAATGTTAATGTGAAGTAAAAGTGAAATTCACTAGGATTAAAGGCCAGAAATATCAGATGAAAAGCGGGGCTTCAATTACTACCTTTTCATCATTTTCTTAACAACATAAACTTACATACTTTGACTAGCATTTGAATAACAAACTTTCTTACATGATTTGGAGTCCGGTGATGGTGGAGAAATATTAGACACAGCAAGGTCACTTTTTGATTTTTTAGGCTTCTTTGCATTTAATTGCCAAGGTTTATCATAGCTTCTGATATCCCGTCTTGTTCCTTTGGATTCTGTTAAAACAAAAAATATATAAAAGCCCAGTAAAGTGATTTCAAGATTGAGCAAAAACCAAATCCATGAAATCATTAAATATACTTGACAAAACATATAAGTCACCTCATATCAAAAATAATGTACACATGCAAAAGTACTTCTTGTCTAATTTCATCTGTAAATTAGAGTTTTAAATCTGATATGAATCAGCTTATATATGCATATGATTAAGATTATATCATATGAAACTATGAAATTGACTGGGCATGGTGGCTCATGCCTGTAATTTCGGCACTTTGAGAGGCCAAAGTGTGTGGATCACCTGAGGTCAGGAGTTTCAGACCAGCCTGACTAATATGGTGAAACCCCATCACCACTAAAAATACAAAAATTTGCCAGGTGTGGTGGCGGGTGCCTGTAATCATAGCTACTTGGGAGGCTGAGACAGGAGAATTGCTTGAACTGGGAAGTGGAAGTTGCAGTGAGCCAAGATTGTGCCACTGCACTCCAGTCTGGGTAACAGAGTAAGATTCCATCTTAAAAACAAAAAACACTACAAAATTACTTTGCAGTCTTTTTAGAGCATGGGTTCCCATGACTTAAAATAAGAGTCTATGAATGTCATGGAATAAAGCGTTGTATTCAGTTGTAAATAAAACAAACATTTTAGTAAGTTTCACTCGCTTGATGCTACCTTATCTATTATGACACATAAAATCATTGATATTCACCTAAATCAATGTATCTTCTATTGCAAAAAAGATCAATTCAATTCCACCAACATTGTTATTTTGAAATTCCCCTTAGAAGGTGGTCAATGTCCTGCCTATTCCACAATTAAAGCGTCTTTCTAAGAGTTCATTTCTCTTGACCTCTTTTACAAGAATTTCATGTTTTTACACAGCACAATCCTTTTCCTCATCCCCATATCACCTGATAACTCTTTCTTGATCTCATTTATTCCTTCCTCATCTTCTATTACTCTAATCTATGTGGCATTCTTTAGGATTTCTTTATGCATTCTTGTCTTAATTTACAAATTTAAAAACCATCCTATCTTTATGGATGACTCATAAGTCTTTTTCTGGCCACCCACTTATAAATAAATAATAAACACCATTACAAATTCCTCAAATTTTCATGTTAAAGTTGTAATTAATTAGCCATTACCCAATTTGTCCACCTCCAAAATCCTATTAAATACCAAAAAGGCACTAAAATTCTGAAGTACTAGGAACCTAAATATTGTTCATGGTCTGCTATAACTCAGGAAGTATTTCCATAGATAAAATTAAGAAAGAATATAGGCCAGTCAGAAGGAGAATGGAGGATGACCAGGTATCTACCTCAACCTTGGAAACATCTCCTTATGTTGTTTCACAATCTTCAGAATTTGTCTTTCTGCATCCATTCTTGGATTATGAATTCCTCTAATGCAACATAGGTAATGGGAGAAGAAACCTCGATCATAAAATAGAGCATCTCCTGATACAAAGGAATATTAAAAGGAGCCAGAGAGGCATGAATGAATTTTGTGGGTTTCTTTATTCTCTACTTCTAGCAAGAAAACATCCCTATTAATTCAAATAACCTAAGAATGATATTTTTATCTAGTTCATTGAAAAGAGATAAGAGACAGTAAGTCATGCATCAATTTTGCAGAAACTTAAAGTATTCAACGAACACTGAAAATTTTAATAGCAACCATGATTTCACCTCAGTAAAGTTTTAAAAAGAATCCAAATAGTTCCAGGCTATGTGGAGAGAGAACAAAGAGACCACCTATACTATTTGTTGATAAATCTAAAACTAGATGGAACATTTCTCAAATTTAAGTTCGAATAAAAAGAGAATATACTATTTTAAGAATAATTTAATTTAAAAACAAGAATACAGCACTCACAATGCACAGGTAATCGTAATTTTAAAAAAATTTTTATAATGAAAGTTATTAAATGTTGGAATGCGACTGTGACTATTTTGTCTTCTCAACAAAAATAAACAAAGTGGACTCAATGAAGCAAAAATAAATTAGAGAGGAGATAGGCTAACCAACCCATGATTAAAAATGTAACTGTGTACAGAAATAACAAAAAGAAGATTAGGTAAGGAAGTAGCAACAGGAAACTAAAATGCAATGCAAACATTTACATTTGCATTCAAAGCCAGAAAGAAAAGACTGATAGTGTAGAAAATTGGATCAGTGACATAGAGAAAGCACTTTTCTTGATACCCTTCTCTAGAAGAGAGTCAACAAAGAAAGGCAAATATAATGCCAAATGAAATGAGAAAAACAGAGAACAGTAAGTAAGCCTCAATTTGCACATAATATATTTTCCTGAAAAATAATAATTGATATTCCAGTAAAACTTTTGAATATCAGAAGTAAAAAAATAATTTCTTTTTTATTCCCACAAAGGAATAACAATAAGGCTGTTTTCAGGATTCTCCTCCACAATGTTAAATGACAGACTTTTAAATAGAAAATGTTGTGTCCCAAGTTGCTAGAAATATTTAAAGGCAACAAGAGGATATCTTCAGATATTTCCAAAAGATATGATACCCATACACTTTGAATATTGAGACGTTTTCTAGCTAATTAGAAGATGCACCAAAATCAATAATTCCAAATTACAGTCAGGGGTTAAACTGGCATTATTTACCATCATTCAATTATAACCTCTTAGTTTCATTCAATCCAAGAATTCATCTATGCTTTTCTCTTCCTTCTTACCATACTTTCCCTCTAAAACTTTTCCTCTTTCTCTGGGCCATATCTTCCACATAAACGCTCTTCCATCCTCAAATGTCTCATTTCATATCTTAGTACAACCCCCATTCTTCCCACAATAGCGTTCCCTTGTCTGCAGCATCCTGGGATGGAGGGTGCTCTTGCCCCATGTCCCATGTCCCACCAACTACTGTGGAGTCAGGGCTGGATCTCCTGGTTCAGTGATGCTTCTGTGATAGAAACCTCAACAGTAAAATAAAAGTGCCTGTTCTCTTGTGGGAAATGTAGTCTAGCTATACTACTCATCACTCTTCATTATCACCGTCTTTTCTGCCTCTGATTAATCTCAGCCTTACTTCATACAGTGGCAAAGTCGTGTCCTGTCTCTTGTCCTTTCAACAGCTTAAATGAAACTATGATGACCTCTTTATCCTTAGACAGGCCATGCATTAAGCCTCATACTTCTTTGCCCTGCTCAACTCTGAAGAGTTTTGCTTCCCTGATACTTCTGTTACCCCAAAACTAAAGCCGCCCTGGGGATTTTCTCATCTGGAATCATTCCACATCAAACATCTTGATCTTAAGTATCACAATCTCTCAGCACAGCTGTATCCTTCTGCATTGCTCATATTTTCACTATCTTGATCTCCTGGAGGTTTTGATTGGCTTTCTCTGTCTGAATCTCTCCCTTCACTTACTCTCTACTTCTCAGAGAGCTTGATCACCCATACTTTGCTCACAAATATCCTCAACTTCTTTTGCAAAACTGTTCTCCCATCCTTGCTGTAGTAATACAACCACTATTCTCAAAGTCCCTCAAACTGTTTTCTCTCTCCCTTTCCAGAACTTCTGGGCACTACCAGAGAAAAATAATCTTACTCATAGTTTCTATAATTCATTACTAATCATTAATTCATGTCCTGAACTTCAGTTAGGCCCCAGAACTACATGACATTCTTTTTTAAATTTTCCTTTGCCAACTCTTTTTTTCCTTTCTCTTGGTGACTTTCCATAATTGGTACACTTACTTCAGTCTTCCCTATTGACCCCCAACCACTTGTCTGGGAAAACACCCTCACCACATAATAAATAGATACAATTTAGGTCACCTGAAATCATCTCACACCTGCCTTCTCCCAGTCCATCCCATACTCAAGAGAGTATAAATTTGACCCACATCTTCCTTTATTCTTTCATTCTTATTATTATCTGGATGATATTGAAGGTTACATCTGGGACTCCTGATTTGACCCATCCCCCAAAGCTTTAGACTCACATCCAATAGCCTGATGGAATTATCTACTAAGATGAGCCACAAGAAACTAAAATTCATCAATAGGAATTAAGAGAACTGATAGAATAACATGGTAGTTATTAACCATGATCTCTCGGCCCCATGGTGTTTCGTCCCACATTTTGTCCACCTCTGAAATGCAGACAGGATTTTTAACTTGCTTTGAAACAGTAGAATATGGCAAAGGTGATGAGATGTCAATGGTATTATTACATTCTAGTATATAAGATCCATCTTAGTAGACTGGAATGAGAGAAATGCCCATGTTGACTTTAAAGAAGTCAGTTGCTGGCTGGGCATGGTGGTTCACAACTGTAATTCCAGCACTTTGGGAGGCTGAAGCAGGAGGATTGCTTGAGCCCAGGAGTTTAAGGTTATAGTGAATTATGATCATGCCACTGCACTAAAGTCTGGCAATAGAACAAGACTCTAATTTTATTTTAAAGAAGAATAAAGGAAAGAGGAAGGAGGAGGAGGAAGGGGAGGAGAAGGAGTAAGAGAAGAAGAGGAAAACGAAGAAAAGGAGGAAGAATTAGTAAGCTGCCATGATGTGAGAGACATGTGGCAGGGACTCTGGGTTCTATCTAGGAGATGAGAGTAGCTCCTGGCTGAAAGCCAGTCAGAAAATAGGGACCTCAGTCATATGGCTGCAGGAAATTAATTCTGCCAACAGCCCAAATGAGCTTCAAAGCTAATCTTTCCTAGTCTAGCCTCCAGATGAGAATGTAACCCAGCCAACACCTTCATCTGCAGCCTTGCGAGATGAAGCAGAGGACTCAGCTAAACCATGCCCACACTTCTGACACATAAACACTGAGGTACTCAACGTGTGTGATTAAAAATGCAGAGTTCTCTCCAGATACTATGATTTATAAAAGATGGGCTCACATGAGCTACAGTGAATTCATAGATACCCATCTGATCTGCATTTATGTGGTGGGTACCATCAAACCACAGCCCCTGCCTACCTACCCATTCTACTTAGAATCTAAACCCAAGAAAGTTAAGGCCAAGGAAAAGTAAGAATTCTTTCTTTTTTTATGCCAAATGTTCATATTCTAACTTCCTGTATGATGCAAATAACTTTTGTATGGATAAATAACAGTACAGATGTCTACATTCTTCAGAGGATACCCTACTCTCTATCCACTTTAGTGTGGCCTTGAGACATGATCTCCAGAAGGCATTCATATAAGATATAACCAAAGAAGACTAAAATCCTTTCATGGGATCCCATAAAGCATGAAAAGGCAGAGAGAAGTGATCATGCCATCCAAGGAAAGTCATTTGGAGTATTGTTGGATTCCTATGAGAATCGGACAAGAAGCTGCTACTCAAGCAATAGGCATGAGGGGATTTGAATTTGAAAGTAAATGTCAAACTAACAGACCAACATGTTAAACACATTTTATGAGCAAAGATTGAGGTCAAATCTATCCAATTCTTACACCAGTGTTTACTGGGGAGATGAGGCCATTATAAACTTGAAATACTAGCTTCCTGATGTAAAGAATGATTTAATCTTCCTAATGTTTACTATACAGGATAAAACTGGACCATGGAGAAATAAAGAACAATCATCAGTTTGGGCAACAAGAAAAGTAATCCTATAGAACTCTACTAGTATCTTTCTATATAGATAAGCTCTAAGCATTTAATTCAAATTATTCATTAAAAAATAAATTTAGGACACCCAGTTGGAGTTCATATAGAATAAAATCTTTTTATGTAAATCCAAATCTTATCTGTATTAAAGTGGAATATGCTGATTCTTGTATTTTTAGGAATACATTACAATATATTCAAATTTAATAACTTATGACAAATTTTAGCATCTAGATAAGGTCAGAGATGAACACAGTAAAATCTCTGGTGACTATCCATCTAGATTTATCTTATTAGAATCAAAAAGAGTTTTGAAATTTTGACATTAAATGAATCCAAAATTAACTGCATATCTATGCTTCATTTACCTGATGTTTCACTTTCTGCCCACAGAGCTGCAGATCCAGACAAAGTTCTTTGAAGTTGTCCACGGTTCCCTTGTTTAGACTGAAGATGGTCAATGAGAAATGGGATTGGCTGGTCAGGTGTCTCAGTTATTAACTTGGTCATTAATTCCTGTAGGCAGAACAGAGCGTACCATTATATCTAATAATAATAGCAACAATGATAGAAAACACTTACCTAGCATTTAAGCATTTAATATTGTCAGGCACTGTTCTAACTGCTTTATATATGGCAACTAATTTCATGCTTATAACAATCTTTTCAGATAGGTACAAGTTACCATCCTCATTCTGAGGAAACAAGAGCAGAGAAGTAAATTGTCTATGTTAACACAGCTAATATGTGGCAAAGCGAAGATATATTTATTTTTATTTTGTATTATACTTAGTCAATAACACAATAAATAAAAGTTTAATCTAAATTCTTTTTTTTTTTTTTTTTTTTTTTTGAGACGGAGTTTCGCTCTTGTTACCCAGGCTGGAGTGCAATGGCGCAATCTCAGCTCACCGCAACCTCCGCCTCCTGGGTTCAGGCAATTCTCCTGCCTCAGCCTCCTGAGTAGCTGGGACTACAGGCGCTCGCCACCATGCCCAGATAATTTTTTGTATTTTTAGTAGAGACGGGGTTTCACCATGTTGACCAGGATGGTCTCGATCTCTTGACCTCGTGATCCACCCGCCTCGGCCTCCCAAAGTGCTGGGATTACAGGCGTGAGCCACCGCGCCCGGCCAATTCTTTTTTTTTTAGATTTTTTTTTATACTTTAAGTTGTGGGGTACATGTGCAGAATGTGCACGTTTGTTACATAGGTATACCACGTGCCATGGTGGTTTGCTGCATCCATCACTCTGTCATCTACATTAGGTATTTCTCCTAATGCTATTCTAAATTCTTTTAATACTATAGCTTAAAAATTGTAAACTTCAGTTTGCTATTTTGAGAGATGTCTTAATAAACTAAACTTTTGCTAAACTTTACCATCTACCTTAAATATCAATGTCATTTTTTCTTATTAATGATATAAAAATAACAAAAATGGAGAACATTTTCTTGAAATTAAAGAAATAGGTAATAAACCATAAGACTTACAGAAACCAAAAAGTGTCTTAATGTAGTCTCTAAGAAATACAGAATTTTCTTTTTGCAAAAGTCCTAATGAGTGTCCTTCCTTCTTCCTTCTTTTTGCTTTTTTTTTTGAGTTGAGCAGTAGGGTGAGTTCCCCATTTTGAATAGCTGTAATGATACTTTAAATTGGACTGAAATCTGCCCAAGGGTAATATATACACATTGGTTTGGTTTTTTTTTTTTTTCGAGTCAGGAACAGCAAAGACCAATCTCCAATTTGTGGTCCATTAGAATCCCTAGATTGTTCGAATATGAACAGCTGTCAAGCCATGTGGATATCATTTTGTGATGTGTAATTGGGTTTGTGAACTTATGTGCACTATTTATATTCATATCAGTCACAGTTCATCTTTTTGGTTTTACCCTGGAATTCTAGTCTGTTCATTGCTGTTTTAAGCTCAGATTCTGTGAGAGGCAGTGGTTCTACTGCTCAAAAAATCAGATATTAAGAGAGTTAAGGAAAGTGTTACTGGAAATTCCCCGGTGCATCTTTTTTGTTGTTGTTGTTAGTGGTGGTCTGTTTCCTTTCCCTTGAATGATGTTCTCCCATGGTCAGATGGCTTCTTTGTCATTCTTCGGTCTCTAAAGATACCTTCTAAGAGAGGCTTATCCTAACCCGATCTTCAGAAGTCTTTATTATTTTATCATTTTATCTTCTTCACAGCATTTAGCACTCTCCAGAATCATTTTGTTTAATATTTGCTCATGTGTTTGTTAACTGTCTTCTCCCCCACCCCTACTGTAGCACTTGAAAATGGACTTGCTTAGTTTGATATCAATTTTCTTTGTAGGGCCTAGAAATCCACCTAGCTCGTAGCTGGTGCTGAGTCAATATCTACTGGATGAATCAATGAATCAATGAATCAATGCTTGCTTTATTGACTACAGGTAGATATTAGTAACTAAAATCCCTTATGATACTAATAAATGACAATTAAACCTTTTATAACCCAGCAAAATATAGTCCTCTGACATGCTATATCAGAAACTGCTGTCCAGATTATCTGAGAGATATTTATTTACATTTTTAAGTCTAGGAACACATGGCTTTATCTGGGTGGAGACTAAATGGATTTTACAAATAACAAGATTCCAAGTTGATCATAGAGTCATGGATTAAACACTTCTGCATATCTAAAAAACGTGTAGCTTGAACACAGAGTTGAAAGGAAAAAGAGCAAAGGATTCTCACCATAAACACATTATAATGCAAGGTACTTATTAGACAAATGTGATACTTTCTATATACTGAAAAATTTGTCACAGGTATTATTCATCTCTGCTATTTAATATTTCAATTATTATAGTTATAAATTAAAAACACCATTCTGCTACTGTTGTGAAGGTAATTGTAAAGTAATACAGAGTTCAAATAAATCCCAATTATACAGCTGTGAAATGCAATTTAAAACGTTTTGGATTTTACCTCTATTGTGTATTATATTTTATTTGAACTAATTTTACTGATAAAGAATTCCAGAAAATAGGAAGAAAAATAAATAGGAAAGAACACCTGGATTGCTGTTGTCACAGAATATCTGGACATTCAGATAAAGTAAAACTAGGTCAGGTATTGGAACTTGAAAGCTGCAGTCATTTCTTTCCTGACACCTCTGAAAATCTCATGTGTTTTTTTTTTTTTTTTTTTTGATTTGTTCTGCTTTTGAATTTACCTTTCAAAGTAGATGGAATGTTTCGGGATTTCTTTTAACTGAAGCGTTCCTACATTTTTCTTTAGAAGATGGATTATACAGTCATAATAAACCAATTAATCACTATTAAGATTTAAAAATAGTATCAGTCCATTAACTCTTTTGGATACATTTGTATTTATTAATGAATATGTGAGATTAAAGACACAGGAAAAGTTCAGTCATGAGGAAATAATCATAGCTAATGTTTGCAATAGAATACGTTGAGTATCTTGGTGGGAGAACAATCTAGTTTTAAATGATTGTATTTACAAAAGTAATTACCCTGCTTCTCACTTATTTCATGTATCTTCTGGGCTTGAATGATTTTGGGCACTTGAACTTGACAGAAACCCCTTTACCAAACATGAAAATTTAAATCCTTAGATTTGCCAAGATGCTTATGGCAATAAAAAGATTAATTTCTTTCCACCACTAGAATTTAGAGCCACAGAGATAGACCTGAGGGACCAATAGACTTGAAAAGGTGAGAATCAAGTTGCAGAGCTAGTATGTTGATTTGGAGTAGAAGCCAATGCAGAAAGTTTTATGGGAATCATTCACCATAGGAAAAAAAAGGTATTCTAGAGCATCAAGCCAGTTTCAGGTACAGAAGCTGAACATCAGTAGGAAAGGGCACTTCCAGGGAGAGAGAGGAGGCTCACCTTCAATTCTGACCATCAGTACAAGAATTGTGACCTGAAATTCTCTGGGAGAATAGCAATTTCTCAGGCTGTGAGTGCATATAAATTAAAAAAAATAATGAAGGGGTGCATATAAATTAAAAAAATAATGAAGTGGTAATAACACTTGTGCCCTGGAACAAAATGTTTGTGGACCTTTTAGAATAAGTACTCAGAGATTGATAAAATGTAGGTATTAATTTTAATATGATACTGTGTGTCCTCATAGGCTAAACGGGGACATTCAAGTTGCAAACAAAATATACTAGCAGATGTCACCAACAGAAGATTTAGTTCATACTCATCTCAATAAAATTAATGTAAACAACATGCAATTTAAGATACAGGAAACAGTAGTGATTAGACACTCAGGCTTTGAAATCTGATAACCACTTCATTTTGAGACACAGTCTCACTCTGTCACCCAAGCTGCGGACAGAGTGAAGTGGCACATTCTCAGCTCACTGCAACTTCTGCCTACTAGGTTCAGGCAATTCTTTCACCTCAGCCTCCCGAGTAGCTGGGCTCCAGGTGTGCACCTCCATGCACAACTACATTTTTAAACATTTTTAGTAGAGATAGAGTTTCTCCATGTTGGCCAGGCTGGTCTAAAACTTCTAACCTCAAGTTATCCACCTGCCTTGGCCTTCCAAAGTTCTGTGATTACAGGCATAAGCCACCATACTCAGTCTAATAGCCAGGAGTTTTAATTACTCATTTTATACTTTACCTTTCATATTCCATCTATTAGATGTGAGAAATAGTAGCTATATCATACAGTTGCCATGGAAATTAAATAAGATAATGACTTCAAAGCACTCATTAAGTGCTTGAGCTATATGTAGCCTACTATGATGGACTAACATCTTCTAAGGCTGGGACTGAATTCCCAGAATCTCCATATGATCTGGGTTAGAGTTTCCCAGTGAAAGGAACATGTAGGAGATTCAAAAAGCAGAGGGAAGCACAAGAAATTAATCTTCAGAGTTGATTGCAGGCAGATGTGGGAACAGATGAGAGATTCACAGCAGCTTTCCAGCTAGTTCGTGGAAACCTCCACGGCTGACTGAGATAGCTGTGAGAGTGCCACAAAAACACTGAAGAATTGTAGCAGCTTCCAGGCAAGCATTTGAGAACCACATGCTCCCTGCTGCAGGCAGGTATAATCAGGGTCAGCTCATCTGATCTTTGGTGATACACCCTCAAACTTCAGCAGCATTTCCATGTCCTCTGTGCCCCAAACTTTTAACTCTCTATCATAAACCTCTTTTTAATAAACCCTATTTTACACAGATACAGTATGGTTTCGATTTTCCTGACTTAACTCTTAGTGATGTACTCCCAAAAATTCTTAGCCAATATTTTTATTTTTACTATTATTTTTCTACATTTATATAACATATATTTTATATATTGTTATTGTATGTTTATGTTCATTACTACTACTACTACTACTATCTTATTCAATATACATTTGTGATATTATATATGAATAATACCTATTTTATTGGCCTTATATTTTCTGATAATAAAGCACATCAATGTTCTCTTAATATCGTTGTTTATCAACTAGAATCTTTAACTTCATGAGTATACCACATAGTGAGACAGCT